AACAACAGCAACGGCAGCAACAGCAGCAATATCAGCAACAATACCACCACCATCAACAACAACGACAACAACCACAACAGTCCCACCAACAACAACAACCCCAACAAGAACAACCCAACAACAACAATCCGCACCGCATAACCTCACTTCAGCCACGCGCCCAGGGATAGTGAATGACCGTTCGGCCCTTCATTCTGAACCGTATACATACATATGCATACATGTCGGTGTAGATGTTTGTGCAGATGTATGTACAGTACACATTCAGGGCATGGACATCGACATCCTTCCCCACGATGGCAGCATCAAGTACTTAGGTCAGCTCATCAGCTTTCACGACGCGATGGAGACTGAAATCCACCACCGTACGAGGGCAGCATGGGCAACGTTCACTTCGCACAAACAGGAGCTGACAAGCAAACACTACCCACTGGCACACCGACTTCGACTTTTCAGCCGGACCGTAACACCCGCAGCACTCTACGGAGCAGAGACATGGACGCTCACGGAACCTCTTCGGCAACACCTGCGGCGAACACAACGACGCATGCTCCGCATGATCATCAGGACACCAAGGCGACGCGCTACCCGCCAAACGACCCCGACGAGTAGCACCCAAGAACACGCGGACGACCGCACGACCACTCAAGCACCTGACCAAGAAACCAGCAGCAGCGACGACGCAGAGAGCAACGCGCCCCAACAAGACACGACCGACCGACACAGCGAGAGCAACGACAACAACAATGACGAGGACGCGATGGAGCCGTGGGTCGACTACATCCAGCGAGCCACGCGGCGCGCAGAACAGCTCATGCAACACCACCACATCGAAAACTGGGAGACGATTCACAGACAGAGGTCGTGGCGCATGGCATCCAAGGTAGCCAAACACGAGCCCACCAGATGGACGTGGCGTGCACTGCACTGGCAACCAGGAGAGAACTCACGGCAACGTGGCCGGAGACACCACGGCGGCCAGCGCAAGCGCTGGGACGACGACCTCATCAGCTTCCTTCAAGAACACCGACCCGACCTGCACCCAGCGCCCACGCCAACCAACGAGCAGGGCAAGCCGAACGACCTCACTTGGGTTCGCTCAGCTCAAGACACCACCACGTGGTCGACACTCGAACACAAATACATCAGCACGTCGCCGACATTCACAACCAGGACTTCCTCCTCCTCTCCTCCTCCGTCATAACTTTTTGTGTGTTGCACCGAATCATGTATTGTGTGTCTCGCAGTTCCTGTGCATGTCTCTATGTTTACAGGAGGCCATGGCCTCACCCACCTGGTCTGAGCAGGCCCGGACAGCTGTCCGATGTGGTGGTTCGTTCGTTCGTCGTTCGTTTGTGCAGATGTATGTGTACATGTAAATGTATCCGTGTTTGAATATGGTCTTGTATGTGTAGTTGTATACGTTCTCTGTAATTGTGGGTTTAGGTGTACAAGTTTTTATAAGGTGATGTATAGGTATATGTATATGTGTAACTGTAATGGGACATGTATAGATAAGTTGTTTTAGGCCCCGCCTGCTTGTGCCCTGTCTCCCCAATTAAAGCTGTGCGTCGCCCGCCTAGCTTTTAGCGGAAGTGGTTCGCTCTCGCCCCGCCGACCAAAATGTATAGATAGGTTCGTGTATGTGTATTTGTATATGCTCATGCTTGTGTGTATGTTTATGTATATGCAGAGGCTTATGCATATGTATGTATACAAGTGTAAGTGTATATGTGCATATGTGTATACCTATACATGTAGGTGTAGGTGTTGTAACTGTTCTTAATTATACATATATATGTGTATGAATACATGTATATACGTACATGGAAAACGTATATTTGTATGTGAACTTGTAGGTTTATATGTCAGTTTGTATGAAGACAAGCGTTTCTATGTCTATGTATGAATCCATGCATCTGTATATGTATAGGTGTATGTAGATGTGCTTGTATAAGTAGACTTAGGTGTGTCATTACATGTGCAGGTATATGTCTATGTCTATGTTTATGTATATGTGTATGTATAAGTGTATGCTTATGGTAGATGTTTTCATATATATATATGTAGGTATATGGTTATGTATAGGTAGAAGTATTTGTGGTTGTGTATGTGTATGTGTATGCATATGTATATTATCCAAATAGGTTTGCCCCTATAGGAATCCTAGCTCAAACCGTACTAATGGGTCCCCCTAATTCCTATGGCTATGCCTATGCTTATGCCTATGCCTCACCCTAACTCCTATGCCTACGCCTATGCCCGTGTCTTCTTGCTTGCTTGCTTGGTTGCTTGCTTGCTTGCGCGCTTGCCTGCACGCTTGCTTGCTTGCTGCGTTGCGTATTCCAAGCATGCTTGGTTCCTCTGGTTCCTTGATCTGAGTAGTCTAATGTTTTTTTGGGGTCGACGTTGGCGGACATGTATATGTTTATGTATAGGTGTATGCATGTGTATACGTATATGTTTATGCCGATGTATATGCATATGTATATGTATATGTATATGTATATGTATATGTGTACGTATTTGTATATGTATATGTATACGTATACGCATACGTATATGTATATGTTTATGTTTATGTATATGTACATGTATCTGTATGTGTATAGGTATAAGTATATGTACATGTATATGTATATGTATATGTATATGTATATGTATATGTATATGTATATGTATATTATATGTATATGTATGTGTATATGTACATGTATATGTATAGGTATATGTATATGTATAGGTATGTGTATATGTATACGTATTTGTATATGTCTATGTCTATGTGTATGTATATGTTTATGTTTACGTATAGGTACACGTATATGTAGTTGTACATGTACTGGTACCTGTATATGTATATGTTTATGTATGTTTATGCGACTGTAACTGTATATGTATATGTATATGTATATGCATCTGCATATGTACATATGTATGTATTTGTTTATATATATATATATGTATTTGTGTATGTATATGTATGCACGTGTATGTGCGTATATGTATGGGGATCTCTGTATATGGGCACGCATATTTGTTTGTTTGTATGTATGTATGCATGCATGTATATATTTGTATAGTCATTCGCATATGCATAGATATGTATATCCATACAGACATGTTTGTGTGTGCGTGCATATGCATCCCATAAGTTTGTATGTATGTATATATATATATATATATACACGGGCGCGTAGGTTTACATTGGTAAGCATGTGTACATATATGAATATACATCATATACATTTCCGTATATATAATGAACATACATTTATCTATACACATATTTATCTGCTGTGAAGTACTGTCGCAGGTGAAGACCCCATCGCGTGTCAGAAAGAGTGTGCTATGAGCCCAGTGCTGGGTCGACCGGGCGGGCTCCAGACTGTGTGTTATCTCTCGTTTTCTCTTTAGTTTTCCGTCTCTCTCTCTCTCTCTCTTTCTCTCTCTATTCCTCCTTTTCTTTGCCTTCCTCATTCTCTTGTTCCCAACCATCCTGTGATGTTGGGTCCTCGTTTCGAAGAGACAGCGCCCCGCGTTAGTCTTCTCCTCTCCTCTCCTCTCTCCTCTCCTCTCCTCTCCTCTCCTCTCCTCTCCTCTCCCTCTCCTCTCTCCTCCTCTCCTCTCCTCTCCTCTCCTCTCCCTCTCCTCTCCTCTCCTCTCTCCTCTCCTCTCCTCTCCCTCTCCTCTCCTCTCCTCTCCTCTCCTCTCCTCTCCTCTCCTCCTCCTCTCCTCTCCTCTCCTCTCTCTCCTCCTCTCCTCTCCTCTCCTCTCCTCTCCTCTCTCCTCTCCTCCTCTCCCTCCCCCCTCTGTCCTCCCATCCCAGCCTCTCCCCGCCCAGCGTTTCGTGGCCCCACAGGGAGCTCCACCGAAGGTCCCAGTGGCGCAGTTCGCATGCGGCTCCTGCGCCCAGTGCAGCGTTTCGTGGCCCCGTGGGGAGCTCCACCGAAGGTCCCAGTGGCGCAGTTCGCATGCGGCTCCTGCGCCCAGTGCAGCGTTTCGTGGCCCCGTGGGGAGCTCCACCGAAGGTCCCAGTGGCGCAGTTCGCATGCGGCTCCTGCGCCCAGTGCAGCGTTTCGTGGCCCCGTGGGGAGCTCCACCGAAGGTCCCAGTGGCGCAGTTCGCATGCGGCTCCTGCGCCCAGTGCAGCGTTTCGTGGCCCCGTGGGGAGCTCCACCGAAGGTCCCAGTGGCGCAGTTCGCATGCGGCTCCTGCGCCCAGTGCAGCGTTTCGTGGCCCCGTGGGGAGCTCCACCGAAGGTCCCAGTGGCGCAGTTCGCATGCGGCTCCTGCGCCCAGTGCAGCGTTTCGTGGCCCCGTGGGGAGCTCCACCGAAGGTCCCAGTGGCGCAGTTCGCATGCGGCTCCTGCGCCCAGTGCAGCGTTTCGTGGCCCCGTGGGGAGCTCCACCGAAGGTCCCAGTGGCGCAGTTCGCATGCAGCTCCTGCGCCCAGTGCAGCGTTTCGTGGCCCCATAGGGAGCTTCATCTCAGGTCCCAGTGGCGCAGTTCGCATGCGGCTCCTGCGCCCAGTGCAGCGTTTCGTGGCCCCGTGGGGAGCTCCACCGAAGGTCCCAGTGGCGCAGTTCGCATGCGGTTCGTGCGCCCAGTATAGCGTTTTGGCACCATAGGGAGCTCCACCGAAGGTCCAAGTGGCGCAGTTCGCATGCGGCTCCTGCGCCCAGTGCAGCGTTTCGTGGCACACCACAGGGAGCGCCACCAACTGTCCCAGTGGCGCAGTTCGCATGCGGTTCGTGCGCCCAGTGCAGCGTTTCGTCGCCCCATCGGGAGCTCCACTTAAGGTCCCAGTGGCGCAGTTCGCATGCGGTTCTTGCGCTCAGTGCAGCGTTTCGTGGCACACCACAGGGAGCTCCACAGAAGACTATACCCACAACTGCGGTATTCACAAATGCATATGGTTGGGTTCGCCAGTTTTTTTTTTCTTCTCTCTCGCTCTCTCTCCGCCATGGGCTGCGCGAGGGATGGGGCAGCGGCTCGGAGGTGCACGGCTTCTCTGTCCCGTGCTCGCCTTTCTCGTTGGCAGCCCCGAGCTACGAAAGGGCGACAGACAGGGAGGAGGCGCAGGATGGATGCGACAACGTCACGGTCGATGGGCAACAGTTTTTGCGTCCGCGATGGATCAGGTGGGACCTCGGTCGGAAGTCGGCCCGGTCGCTCCAGAACCGTCCAACCCGTTTCGAGGAGGAGGAGGAGGAGGAGGAGGAGGAGGAGGAGGGAGGAGGGAGGGGAGGGGAGGGGGAGGGGGAGGAGGAGAAGGACTTCCCGCGGATTTCTTGGATCGGCGCTGTGCGCGCGCCATGGGTGGTGCCGGAGGCGCCGCCACGGGGTTTCAGCGCGCAGCGCGGCTCCAAGAACCCCGCGCAGACCTGAGAGAGTTCATGTTCAATAATTCGTCAATCGGGCTTGCTGGAGGATTCTCATTTGTTTGGGCAGAGCCGGTCGTCGTTCCTCGAGATTCTTCGGGCCATGTGTCCCTACTGTGGCGGTGCCCTGGGTTGTATGGTCTTGTTTCCGTGTCCAGGCGTTGCCCAGGGTGGTTTGGTTTTGTCTCCTTATTGTGGCCTTCCCTGGGATTGCTTGGTCGTCTTTCCTTTCCCTGGTATTGCCCACAACTCCTTGGTGTTCTTTTCTTGCTGCATTCCCTTGTTGCTAGGTCTTGTTTCCTTCCTGCATTCCTGGGGTGCCTGATCTTGCGTCCTCATTGCATTCGCAGGCTTGCTTGGTCTTGTTTCCTTGCCGCATTCCCCGGGTCGCCGGGCCTAGTTTCGCCAAGTAATGCCAACCAGCGCCAAGCTACGCCAAACAATGCCAACACGCAACGCCAAGCAATGCCAAGCGACGCCAAGAAACACAGCAACGCCAAGCAACGCAAAGCATCGCCAAGAACCGCCACGCAATGATGGGCAATGCGCCCCTGCAGTGGGGAACGTTCGCCTCATGGGGGTCGCGCCAGGTTCATGCAGTTGTTTATAGTATATACATATATATATATATATATATATATACATATATGTATTAAAAACAACTATGAGGGTGGCCCTTCGCCGCGAACGGAGTTTCTCTCGTCTTCGTCGGACTTGAACGTCCTGCCCCGGGATGCGCTCCAGCAGCGGCGCCCGACGAGGGCGTTGCGGGGTCTCCCCCAGAGAGTGGCCGCCGAAGGGCCCGAGCCGGGGTCCGGAGGCCGGGGAGGAAGGCGCTCGGCGTGACGGCAGGGCAAGTCGTGCCTGTCCCTCGACGGGAGGAACAGTCAAACACGGTCCAACAAATAGTTCGGGGGCGGCAAAGAGGGGGGGGATGACCAGGGTGGGGTGGAAATCATGGCGGGGGCCATGACGTCTCCCCAGATTTTATGGCGCCTCTTCTTGTTTCATTACGTCCCTGGCCCCCCCGCGGGGCCGCGCACATGCCGCCGGTCATGATTTGCACCCCCCCCTCTTGGACACCCCCCTCTTGGCCGCTCCCGAATAGTATGGGGACCATTTGTTGACTATCTTGGGCGATGTTTGGGCACTTGTCGACTCTCTCTCTCTATCTCTTTATTTGTCGCCCACATTCCGCGTGTGGAAGGAGACGCCCGACCCAAGCGTAAGAGTGGCCCTCTGCGGGAGTGAACTCGACTTGCGGGGGGGGCGCGGAGGTGAATGGGGGGGCGGGGGGGGCGAGCCCAAGCACGCAGCGATGGGCAGGCCGCGCGCCAAGGGGCCACTTTTGCCTGGGGTCGCTCGCTGCGTGTACTCCAGATTTCGTAATAAAAGAGAGGGGGTCTGGACCCTCCAAGACAAGCCATTTCAGACCTCCCCCGTGGGAAAACCCTCCAAAACATCGTCCCCAGACCCCCCAGGCCCTCCAAGATAGCCTGGAAGAGACCCCCCCCGAAATGAGACCCCCCTCCCTTTATTACGAAATCTGGAGTAGCCGACAGAGGACAGCTATACTCAGCATCAGGGGGGCCTGCCCCTGTGGGCAAGGGGCCCCGCAGTTTCTGGCGCCATGCTCGGCCCCCACGGCGGCTTGTCCGGGCCCCAGCCCATCCGGAAGTTGCTCCGAATGAAACGCTGGTCCAGGGGAACGCCCTGGTATCCCTCTAAAAATGGAAGGCGGCAGTAGCATCATAAGATGTTCGGAGGTCCGCATGGGTTCCTCGGACCAGCGCAGGACACTCGGGACCCTCCTCCCCTGAGCGCGCCAGGGGCGACACAGGATGCGCTGCCAGGGGGGGGCCGAGTACCGACCTGAGAAACGCGTGAGGACTTCTGGAAGTCGTCGTTTTCACCCCAGGTCGGTTATGATGGCCTCGAGGGCCGGCAAGGGCTCCGAGAGCCCGAAAATTGTGGAAGCTCGCTGTTCCTTTTTGATTCGAGACTTCGGCTGTTTGGGAGCATGACGTGTGTTCCGCCAAGTGATATCCCATTCCGCGGACGATCTGTCAACCGTACCGGCTTGGCGCATCTCGAGGCGTCGTCGATCCTCGACCAAGTAATGATTCGGTGCATAGTCCCGTAGACACGCTAACGGCGATGTATGTAACGGCGATGTCGGCTCAGATCAGAGGTCGGCCGATTTGCTGCTGCCGAGCAGGCGGCCAGTTGTGGGAGCGCACTGAGTGGCACTGCCAGCTCCTGCTCCTCCCCCTCTCATCACTCCCTCCTGTCCCTCCCTTCTCTGATGGTAGGAAATGCATATGTCTCCACGCGATGTGTTCTTGCACGTGCCGCCCTCATCCCCGCAACACTGGCGTTTGTGGTGTGCCTTATGATGCGACGGGGCATGCCTTTGCAAGTTGCCAGCAACATGCTCAGTCAGATGTTGCTGCCGATACCTCCTCGAGCACATGAAACTGCGACGGGGCAAGATCATGCAGCAGCTAGCGTCACTGCTGCGCCGTCTCCTCCGAGAAAGAAGGCGGCAGCCAGCGTCACTGTCGCGCCGCCTCCTGTTCAAAAGCACGCAGCTGCCAACGTCACTGAAGAGGGGGAGCGGTTGCTGCCGCTGGTCTGGGTGCACTTCCCCAAGACAGGGTCCTCGTTTGCATCGCTGCTTGCACATTTCGGCTGCCCCGACATCCCCACCAGCGACAGAGTGACGAACCCGGTGAAGTTCCATCGCCACTACCCCAAAGAGGAGTGGCGCAACGGCAGCTTCGAGAGGTTCCACGCTGGCCACAGCCCCATCCTCGTTCGCGAGCTGGGCGGCGCCACCCCGCCCGAGCGCGTCGTCAGCATGTTCCGGTCGCCCGCATCGCGAGTCTTGTCGGGATACTTCCACAGCTTCCACGACTGCTTCCCCATGCAGCGGAAGTACAACTGCACGGGCTACGACAGCGACTGCCCGGCGGAGCTGTGGCGCGAGCCCCTTCCGGCGCAGGCGCAGCGGCTCAACGAGTACGCCGCGTGCGTGGACGAGTGCACCGCGCGCCTGCTGACCGGGAGCATGTGCGGGGCGACGAAGGCGACGCCGCCCGACCTGCGGGGCGTCAGCGTGGGCATCGTGCAGAGGCTCGGCTTCGTCGGGCTCGTGGAGGAGTGGCCCTTGTCCGTCTGCCTCTTTTACCTGCGCTTCGGGGGCGCCTGCCTGCCCGTCTCGTTCGAGAACCTGCGCCCCATGTCTGGACGCCCGAAATGGGTACTGAAAGAATGGGTACAATGCCCAACAACAATTCCTGTTCATTTTGAACAGGATTCGCTGTCCACGCCGCCGCGGCCTGTGTCCATTCGAGACAGAAGGCCGCCTGCCCAACAGCGGCCGCTGTTGGCTTGGGACAACATTTGTTGTTGGGCTTAGTGCCCATCCTTTCCGTACCCATTTCGGGCGTCCAAACCATGAAGTCGCAGCACCGCGACACGCGGGCCGGCCTGGCGGAGCTGCTCACCGCCGACCTCGGCCTCGAGGAGGCCGTCTACCGGGCTGCCTCGGACCGCTTCTGGCGGGACGTGCGCGGCCACGGCGCCACCGCGGCTCGGTGCCGCCGGGTCTGTCTGGGCAGCGCCCAGCACTTCTCGGGGGCGGAAAAGAGGGGGGTGATGACTAGGGGGGGGTGGATATCATGTCGGGGGCCATGATATCTCCCCAGATTTCGTGGCGCCTCTTCTTATTCCATTACGTCCCTGGCCCCCCCGCCAGGCCGCGCACATGCCGCCGGTCATGATTTGCGCCCCCCCTTTTGGACACCCCCTCCTGGCCGCTCCCGAACTTCCCGGGCGACTGACCGCCTCCGCGCGAGCGCCTTCTCGTACTGCCTAAACTGCCAGAGGATCTGGAGAAGTGTGGAACGTTCGTGCACTTTCTCGCGCGAGCAGCCCTGTGGTCTTGGCCAAAGGCGTGGGCACGCTACGGCGCTAGCGAGGACACCATGTCAGAGGAAGTGGCCATGCGCGTCTACGCGTGGCCTTCTCATCGAGCTTTATAAAACTGTTTAACTTGGGCGCCTCGGCGCGCTGCGGCCGCAGCCGCCGCTGCGCGCTCGGCATGCGCGTGCGCCGGTCGATGGGAAGCAAAAGTTAACGGCGATGTCGGTTTCGGTATTGTGGGAACGCATGGCTCATGCTGTCCTTCAATACCCTCCAAGACAAGCCGTTTCAGACCCCCCCCCCCCGTGGGAGGACCCTCCAAAACATCGTCCCCAGACCCCCCCCAGGCCCTCCAAGATAGCCTGGAAGAGACCCCCCCCGAAATGAGACCCCCCTCCCTTTATTACGAAATCTGGAGTACCCTCCCCCCCCCCAAACCCGAAATTCGGGCCTTCGGGTCGGGTTGGGGTGGTCTGGTAGGCAGTCACTCCCCACGTCCCATCACGAGAACGCCGCGGCGTCAGGCTGTGGTGCATGCCCTGTCTCTGGGGGCCTCCCGCGCGGGACCGCGGCGTCTCGGGGCGTCCAGCCGCGCGGCTCGCGAGTCGCGAGCCGTGAGGCGACTCTGCGGACGGTACTCGAAATCCCCGAATAATCATCTTGCGGGTCGGGTTTTTTGAGGCGTCTCTTTTTGGAAACGGGCCGTCCAGTTTATTGGGGCGGTTTTTTTAACCGAAGACGAGCGGGGGCCCAGAATATGAAGGCCCCCCGTTGACAGGGGGGTCCGGAAAATTCTTGACGCTTCGCAGATCCCCACCAGTCTCAGCCTGTCTGGCTGGTTCAAGTCGTTAGGGCGCTCGGAGCCTGGCGCCTCATCGGCGACTCACTCCAGTGGCCCCCCACTTGCCATCTCCCTGCGCGACGGACTTGACCATGGTGGTGCGTCTCCGGTGTGGGTTGCGCCATGGCAAGCCTTGAATTCCGGGACATTTTGTCCAGTGCACGTGCTCGAGCTTGAAGGGCGATGTCCGCCGTCAGCTCCACCCCCCTCAGCTTCGCAGTTGCTGTCTGAGTGGGCCGGCCGGCTTGCGCCTGTCTGTGCTAATTCGCCTAGTTCGCGTCCCGGACTTTGCTCCTGCCGCCTGACCGTCGTCTCGTGGCCGCGACTAACAAAGATCCCCACCAGCCCATCCGGAAACGATCAGCAGGTGAGTTGGTAAATCAAGGACGGCTGGAAGCATGCAGTTGCGCGGCCGTCTTCAGAAAAACAAGGATCACAAATAGCTTCTCGCAGTGAAGTTTAAGGTGGGAATCAGTGCAAGATACGAGGTGGTACTCCCCGTGGTGAATGTCTTTAGCGCAGGTGGCTGTATCCACCCTGTTCCATGAGGAAGAGGTTTCACACAGCTTCGCGCAGCGAAGTTTAAGATGGAAGCCGGTGCAAGATACGCGGGGGTGTTCCCTGTGGTAAGCATCTCTGGCTATCTATCATTCGTCGCCCCTGTCGCAAAGTTGAGAGTCGCATCCCCATATGCATCCATGATCTCTGCCCCCGCACTGAAGTTTATCTTAAACTCGCGTGCGGCTGCTGGTGCTGGTGATTGTGGTGGTGGCGGTGGCGGTGGTGGTGATGCTGCTGGTGTTGCTGCTTGTGGTGCTCTTTTGCCCTCTTGGAGGCATCTTGGAACAAGTGGTGCTGCTGGTGCTGATGTTGCCTGGGGCCATGTTGGGGTAATCGTAGTAGTAGTAGTAGTAGTAGTAGTAGTAGTA